GGTTTAGTATAATATTCGGATTGTCAATACGGTTTTAGAGAGAAAGAAAATCTACACAAGATGCTATTTGTAAACTAACATCACAAATACCAGAAGCTTTTGAGTCTAATAAACGTAGTTTATGCATATTTGTCGATCTCTCTAAGGCGTTTGGACACGATATCTCAGGGATCTTGTTAGAGAAACTTGAGAAGTATAGTCTCAGAGGACGCGTTTTGACATTACTAAAAAGTTACTTAACAGACAGAAAACAATTTGTAGAAATTGATGGTGTCGAAAGTGATCCTGAAGTAATTAATTATGGCGTACCGCAAGGGACCGTTTTAGGCCCTCTACTCTTTACACTCTATGTTAATAACATGCTTAAACTAAAAACTGATGGAAACATAATAAGCTTTGATGATGACACCGCAATTTTTTATAAGGCCGATAATTGGGAAGATCTTAAAACTATAGTTGAACAAGACTTCAAAGTTTTAAAAACATGGTTGCAAATAAACAAACTAACAATAAATTACGAAAAAACTAAATATATACCTTTTGCAATATATAAAAATTCTGTGCCAACTTTTAATTCATTAAAAATAAATAAAAAACAACAAATATTTAAAGCAGAATTAATAAAATATTTATGAGTTTTAATTGACAGGCACCTTAAATGGGACTTACAAATAAAAAATATTATAAGAAAAATACGAGGACTGTCACCAAAATTCTACTATTTAAAAAGTTTTTGGATGTTGAACAGCTTAAAATGCTTTACCTGTCTTTAGTACAATCTCATCTTGTATATGGGATTTTAGGATGGGTGGCGTAGCTGATTGCCATCTGGTGACCCTTCAAAATACTCAGAAATGGTTTCTTAAACTAATATATGGAAAACGAAAAACATATCCCTCAGACCAACTTTTTCATGAAACTCAGGTTCTTGATGTTCGGCAATTGTACTGTTTAGAGCTACTTAAAAATATTCATAAAGATAAAATACCTCTTAAAGTAAAAGTGTTAAATTATGAAACAAGAAGAAAATTGAATGTTGAATGTCTTCACACTTCAAAAACAATCACGCAACGGTCAATTAAATATTTTGCTCCAAGAATATACAATCAATTGCCCATAAATTTTAAAAATATCAAAAATTTTTATTTGTATAAAAAATTAGTTAATGCTTGGGTAAAAGAAAAAAGGGAGTTGTGTAACAATTTAATAAATTTAAATTATACTAGATAAAAAAAATTAATAAACATTAAACCTGTTAATATTAGACAGATTAAGTCAACAAGCATGTTAATGCTTTAAAGACTTTTTTTACGTTTATTTTATTGTAAGTAAACTGAAATTGTAAATTAATGTAATACTTATTGATTTGAATAAACGTATATTATTATATAGTATATATAATATATGTCTGAGTTTAATGTTACTGTTAAAAAGAATGGGTATTTCCGTTACAACGCTTTTAAAATAAGAACAGCACTTATATGCCTTTTTGTACACGCGTATCAGTTTTCCTCTCAATAAAAGATAGATATACAGAATGATCGTAATTGATAAAGTATTGTTATTAATTAAAAATTATTCAATCAGTATGTAGAATTTTAAACTGGTGTGTTTATTGAATTTTTTATGAGGAAATCCTATTTTTGCTCTATTTTTGCCGCAACAAATGAAAAAAAAGACATAACGAAAAGGTTCTTCTTCTTCTTTGTCTAGCCATTCACGTCCACATCTGAACATAAGCCTCTTCAAGTCTTCCTTTCCATTGTTTTTTATTGTACGCTACTTGTAGCCAATTTTTCCCGGCAGTCCTTTTCAGATCATCTGTCCATCTCATAGGAGGTCTGCCTCTGGGTCTTTTGTGTTGGTATGGTCTCCAGGTTAAAATTGATCTGTGCCATTTGTTTAGATCGCTCCTAGCTACATGTCCAGCGTATTCCCATTTCAACTTTTAATGATTTTTGCACCACATCGGTGACTTTGGTTTTCTGACTTATCCATGTGTTTGTTTTCTTGTCCTTAAGTGATATACCTAGCATTGCTCTTTCCATCGCGTGTTGAGTGACTCTAAGTATATTCATATTCTTTTTGTGATTGTCCATGTTTGTGCCGCATAGTTAATATCAGAATAATGCATGCATCAAAACTTTAGATCTAAGATGTAATTGAATATGAGTTAATAGCAAAATAAATATAGTAGGTTTTAGGTATCGTCATAGCTAACAACAAAGAGAAAAAATATATAAACGGAAGATAAAATAAATATGGAAGGTAACTGTATATACGCATTTTTGACTATTGGACGTCTTCAGTACGGTGCAGCCAAGTTAGAAAAGGAGTATGTTAACTTGGGAAAGGATCACTACAGGAGCAATGCGACCAATTTGTGGCAATGATGTTAGAAGACTCTTAATATTCCAGAGCAATAACTAACACTTTTCAAACATCGCCATAAAAAAGTCCAACTGAGTAAAATCTGGAGATTTTGATAGTCATTCGATAGATCCCCTTTTACATATCTATCTACTAGCGCAAACGTTATTTAAATAATTTCGTATATCAAAGCCGTGGTGTGGGGAGCCCCATTCTGTTGGAACTACAAGTCATTTCTATTTGGATTCAGCTGTGGCATCAGATAATCCTGAAGAAATTCCAGATAACGACGAGCAGTTAAGTTTCCTCCAGAAAATATGGCCTTATAATATGATTGTTTATAATGCCAGCCCAAACATTCATCTTCTAGGATATTGTGTCCTTATTCTTTCATCCAATGTAAATTTTTACTTGCAAAGTATCGACATGTATGGCGGTTTATGTGGCCGTTGAGCATAAAAGCCGCTTCATCTGAAAAAGTACCTTTTTGGTGTAACTCTGATCTCTGTTCCATCGTTTCATAATGGTTTCGCAGAATTCGACTTTTAGTTATCTTCTATACGGATGCTACTTCTCCTTTTTTGGCACTAACAACAGTTGATTGGTGGAAATTATTATCTAGGGCAGGGGTCACCAATTATATTCCCTCAGGTTCCGTTTCGAAAACCTACTACACTTCCGGCGGTCCGGACTCATCACTAAACCAGGCACAGATTACCCCAGAAACCCTCCAGTAGTTGTAACCCCCCCCCCCCTCAAGAGATCATCCTGGTTACGTAGTTGAAACCAGGCGGCAACTAGGTCACCTCGTTTAAGGAGGAGTATCAAATAAACTCAAGGAAAAAGATGATTATAAAGCTATTGTACAGTTCTGTATATTTTACGACGAATAAAAAAAGTATATAGGTATGAAAAAGCAAACTAATTTCTTATTGTTTCTCATCGTATATCTCAAACATTTTCATTGACAAAAATATCCGTCAAAAATGTGATAGTTGCAACCTTTTCTGTGTCCTAGAGGAAGTCCAAATGGTAATTTGTAGTTTCATTATCAATAGTGGACAGAAATTCTTTTATGTTGTCACGTATTGCAAAGAATCTTTCAAGCACTAAACCATGTTGCTCAGCCATCTCACATTGTTATGAAGAAGCAAATCGTCAAACTGAGCATTAGTGTCTTTTAGAAATGATTTGAATTGACGATGCCTCAAAGATGATTTTGCACGTATAAAGTTCATGACGGTTTGCATTTTACTGTGAAGATTTGGATTTAAACAGCAACACAACACACTTTGATGAATAATACAATGATACGATATTAGATTTACATTGCACATTAGGATGGCTTCGTAGTCGCTGAACCAAGCCTTTTCTACACGTAGTGTACGAAATAACTTTTTTTAAATCCAAACTATCCTTGCCAAAATAGTCTAGACACTTTAATTTTATTACTATATTTTGAATTTAACGGCAGTCTGCAATAAACAGGCTCACGGTCCGGATGTGGACCGCGGTCCGCCATTTAGTGACCACTGATCTAGGGCGACCTGCTTCGACCTGGTATAGAGATTTTCTTGAATCGCCAGTACAACGTCCAGTTTCTTGGCTTTTTTTATTGATTTTCTACTACATCTTTAATATGACCTGGTTTTCGAAGGGATATTTGTCTTCACCTTTTAGTACAACGAAGTCGAGACGTAAATAAATATGTTGTGCTGTGTTTTCTAGATTTTGGAAAGGTCTTTAACGAAGTTAGACACAGCAGAATGACTACGGCCCAATCGGACGAATCCACGATATAAACGATATACTTAATAATTTTTACTTAATTTTGTCGAAATATTCTAGTCGTCAGGGATTTGGTCTCTAAAATAAGACGAACAAGTTGAATTTTGCTAAGAATGTCAATTTCGAGACCGACTTTATTTACGGCAAAATGCTAATTGAATACGAAAGATGCATTTCTTACTCTGATCAAAAGATATTGAATTTTTACCGTCGAGTGCAAATTTTATTTAATATATTCGAATATTTTCTGTCACAAAACGTGCACAAAGCGTTAAACTCTTTAGATGGTGACAATTCCGAAATAATGTCCAATTCAGATTCGTCACAAAAAGTATCATTTTCACTACTAATAAAACAATATACTATTTTTTTCGAAATTAATAAACTATGTGCATACCTACGTACGACTGACAAAGTTATTTTGTATTTTACCGAAATAAAAATAGATTCCAAACAACGAAAAGGAAATTCCCAAAACAATTTTATACATAATCAATTTAATCAAATTAAGCAATAAATACTAATAAACAAACTACAATAAACACAGTCTTTGTCGAATATTGTCTTCAAACCATGAGTTCGTAAAACAGATCGCCTTGTATATGTTAGAAGTACCTACCTTTTTATTTTCATAATGTTTGGTTGCCAATGCGACTATTTTCATTGTAAGTTTCGTCCCTAAATAAAACAAATTCTTTGAGAGGAGATAACAGCTGGTCCGCACCACTAGTTGGTAATTCTGAAAAGCAGTCATAACGGCAGCTTGCCATAAAGTTTATATTCGGTCTTCGTAATATGATGAACGGATAGATAGTACCGTGGCTTGTTTTCATTATAATTTTTTAAGTGTCTTCGTGTCTATTATTATTACAGGGGATATTATTCGATAACTCTAACTTCAATGATACTACAAAAAATTTCAAATAAGTTTTTAGCTTAACCATCATTTGAAGGCGTTGCCTTTAGGATCACAAGTTGTTTTAAAATGCTTGATGTCGTTGATTTGCCTACTGACTACGAAGTATTTTTTGACAATTATTTTTCTAGTTACAATTTAATGGAAACTTTAAAAGAGAAGGGCTTTAGGGCAACAGGCACAGCAAGAAAAAATCGTATAAAAAAATATCCTTTGTTACCTTTAGCTGTAATGAAAAAGAAGAATCGTGGATCTTTCGAATATCACTTTGACAAAACGAGTCTACTACTTTTTGTAAATGGAAGGATAATAATGTGGTCACAATGGCATCAAATTACGATAGTATTGAACCACTTTCAAAAGTGAATCGTTGGTGTGCTGCTGCCAAACGAAAAATTGATGTACTTATCCCAAGCAAAACTTTTCTTTTTATACGATGGTTCAATGGGCGGTGTTGATGTCTTTGACTAATCGGTTAATAACTACCGAATCAGTATACAAGGTAAAACATGGTGGTGGCCCATTTTTACCCACATGCTCAACTCAGTTCTTGTTAACTCGTGGAGGTTACAAATATTTGCTGAAAATAAAGAAATGGATCCTTTGGCTTTTCAACGAGATGTAGTACGTCATTATTTAAGAAGTTTTGGGAAATCTACTTATTCTAGAAAACAACTGGCAGGATCTGTACCAATTAGTCTAAGAATGGATGGAAGCGATCCTTTTCCAAAGAAAATAGACAAACAACTTCGATGTCGCTTATGCCATCAAAGAGTACGTTTGATTTGTATAAAGTGTGAAGTTACTCTGTGTATTAAACGTGATTGTTTTGTATAATTTCATATTAGTAAGACTATAATACAGGATATACTCAAGTATGTACCTATATTGTAAGAAAATAAAATATTTTTATCTTTACACAATGTTTTATATTTTTGACTCACGATCATCCCATTGTACTCATATGAGTACACCTACTTTTTGCTAAAACTTTAATTTTTTATGTCAAATAACAATGAATTACTATTTAACCCAGACCCAAAAAGGGCATTTAAAAAATCTTGTATTATCAAAAAAAAATGTCGTGGGATCAAATGGGTTATCTTAACCACTAGAATAATTTTATATTTTACAGCAACTGCATATAACCTCTTAGACTTTCGCAAAGCTAAAGAACAGTGGCTGCTAGACAGGTGTGCAGAAATGGAAGAATTTGAAGAAAAAAATTACCACTTTAACTAAAGAAGTGACAGGTCATACAAAACATTGCAGTTTTAACAGTATTGTGAAAGACAATAAATTAATTATTGATCCCAAGGATCTACTTCAACATTGGAGAAACTACACACAGCAACTATACTCAGACAACACTAGAAGAAACTTTGAAAGTGAATATAAAAGTGAACTCTCCCCAACATATTGAAGTCAGAAGTTGTAAGGGCAATCAAACAGAGCAAATGGGGAAAACCACCAGGTCCAGACAACATATACATAGAGGTTCTAACAATGTTGAGTGAAGACAATATAGACGCCTTGGTAGATCTTTTTATTGATATTTATGGAGCCGGTCAAATACCACAGGATTGGCTTCAATCAACCTTTATACCAATCCCAAAAAAGCCAAACGCTAATAGTTGCCACCAATTCCGAATGATCAGCTTATTGAGCCAGGTCTTAAAACTCTTCTTAAGGCTGTTTTATCGGTGCACCAAAACCTAGGGACAGTGTTTTCTCCGTTATTTACCGACAAAAGTCTTGAAATTTGGGCACGATATTAGAAATTATGTTTTTATTTGGAATGGTTATTTTTTGGAAACTTCTGTTGAAAAATTGGATTATACTATTTAACGTTCCAAACTTTTTACGTCCATCACTTAAAAGAGTTTTTTTCTGTAATCGTTTTTTTTCTCACCTTTCTGTGTCCAGTAATAATCGAGAGAAGCGTGTTCCAACTTTGAAGAAAACTGCTAAAAAATACTAAAATCTAATAGTGAAACGTGTTACTCATCATTGGCGCTTAGTTTTACCGTTATCGCCTTCGTGACGTCAAATCTCATGAACGTACGGTCATTAAGTTCAGTTCGGGCTAAAACTAATTTGCATGGAGAATAATGCATTTGTTGTCATTAAACTACCAGTCGGTCGGCTCCACTGAATAAAGATGGTCTGAGTAAGCAGTGTAGAAAAGTAAGTGATACGCCCATTTCAAATTGCAGTGTGTTTTAACTGCTAAAACAGCCTTAAAGATAATTCACACAAGAATATACAACAGATGTGAAAGACACATTAGCCCCAGACAGTTCGGTTTCAAACAAGGATTTGGCACAAGAGAAGCACTTTATAGCTTAACTATCCTACTTCAGAAATGCAGAAATCAGCAAAAAGATGTCTTCCATGCTTTATAGATTACCAGAAAGCGTTCGATTTGTTAATCATTCAGAATTAGTAAGATTGCTCCAGGAACGCTCGATAGATGAGAATGACCTTAAAATCATAAAGAACTTTTATATGAATCAAGTGGCATCTGTGAGAATAGGACTGGAATATACATCATATTTCTCAATCGAAAAAGGTGCTATCACCCCTTCTTTTTAATCTTTACTCAAACGATTTTTGATAGACAGCCTTAAGTGGTACTGAAGATGGAATCAAAATCATCGGACAGACTATTAGTAATCCTCGCTATGCTATGAGAACGACCGGGCTTGAGGATAGACATATATAAATAATATAGACAAGACGAATTGTGGTTAGTAGAACACAAAATATGCAATTAAATATAAGAGTAAACAATAAGAACATTCAAAAGGTCCCCAAGTTTAGATGTATCGGTAGTTGGATAGCTGAAGATCTAGATCCAGACATAGAGATACGCAGCGAGATTGAGCAAGCCAGAACAGCATTTACTAATATAAGAACCTTGCTAAGCAACAGCAGCTAAACTTAACGCTTCGATATCGCTTTGGAAAATGTTACATTTACTTCATACTGCTATATGGTGTAGAAACCTGGACCATAAAGGCCAATGTGATGAACCGATTGGAGGCCTTTGAAATGTGGGTATTTAAATTACTTAAAATTCCCTGGACAGATCACACAACAAATGTCGAAGTATTAAATCGAATGGACAGAGAACGAGAATTGCTGCCAATAATAAAAAGAAGAAAAACTGCGTATCTGGGTCATATATTTCGAAATTCCAAGTACCAGTTCTTAAAACTTATTATGGAAGGGAAGATAGAAGGAAAACGGGGCATCGGAAGAAAGAAATACTCATGGCTTAAAAACATAAGGGATTGGATAAACCTCGATGCCCATGCACTCTTTAGAGACATACAAGATCGAGAGGAATATGCCAGAATTGTCTCCAACATCCACTAATTGGATAGGGCACCATAAGAAGAAGCATATAACCTCAGCTTTTAAGGAATTTTGTACAATTAAAGTATATTTATTCTACTATTGCCATAATGTAAATAGTTTTACAACTGCATATAAACATATTTATCTAGGAAATATCTATTAATAGTTTATAAAATTCTACGAATGTCAATTGCCATCCAAGCGCCCCCACTAATGATTTCTTCAACAGTTCCATAAGTACATTAACACTGCTTTCTGTTTTGTTTTATTCGCTTCTTGAGAGATGCAATTTGAAGTTTTAAACCAGTTTCAGTTTGTCTTGAGAGATGGGTGAGCCGGGCATGCAGAACAACAATGCCACTACTTACGAAGGAAGTTTTTTAAGTTTAAATGATAGTATTTTAAATAATGTCAGTGATGGTGTTATAGAAAGATTTGAAAATGATCCTTATCTTTTACCGCATTGGGTACTTGGACTATACTTTGGATTTATTTTAATCGGTAGCATTGCTGATGTTATTTACGTTTTGGCGCTCTCGAGATGCAAAAGAAATGGTATGTAGTAAATAATTTTGACTATTAAACATTGATTATTAATATTTTATGATTTTATTAAGCTGTTAGAAATTTGTTCATTATATTCGAGATATTTTCTGCATGTTGAATTATTGTGTAATAGTATACAATGTGTAGAAGCAAAGATTCCGAGCATGAGAAACCGCGAGTAGATGCAGAATTTTCATTCTTATCGAGTAACACACTGTATTTTTTCCACGACGAAGAAGTTTATATAAAAAGCAATCAAATCTTAACAAAATAGGGTATTTACTGGAATAGTTACGTTATTTTGCTTTGAATTAATATTTATATTTACAGTGTTTAAATAATTACTGCAATTAAAAAACAGGTGAATAGAAAATCGTTTCGGTGGTATTTTTTAAAAGAGATTGATTTGTAGAGGCATGGGCGTCCGGAGGATCAAAACTAGGGGGGGGGCAGATTTTAGAAATAAAAAAATTAGTTAGATAAGCAATAATAAATATAGACGTAAATTGAGAGTCTTCACTGAGAGGGGGAAGGGGGAAGGGGTTTCCCTCAGAAAAGTTTAAAAAAATAACGTTGTGGAGTCAAAATTATAACTCAAACGCTTTCATACAAAAATTAAGCAAACTAAATAATATAATTTAAATATTTAAAAACTTTTTTAATGCTTTTTACAAAAAACGTGATGCAAATTTAACAAGTTTATTTCCTCCTGGATAAGCCTTCGATTTGTGAAGCAAGATAAATTGTCTGTTCCTAAACACTATTATTTAACCCTTTCGAGTCGAATTTTTTTTCAGGATCGATATGGAATTTAAAACTTTATTTTGTTTAAAACGTATAATTATGCAAAAATAAAAGTGATTGAGATTAATTTTATCCTTGAAATCCGCCATTTTATCCGGGACATATATGTCCCAGTCAGACTTTTTTGGAACACATATGTGGTACTATAATAACCCATCAGAAACCAAATTATTACTTTATGATTTTAGTAAAGAAAAATCGAAAATACAAATAAAATCTCATATTTTGAAAACAAAAGGACTAAAACTAAGATCAATATTTAATGTAAATGAAAAGATGTGAAACATGTTTTGCGCAAGGGTGCCTTGCAGTTCTGACATAGTGTGGTGGTTCGTTTTTCTTTTTCTGAGAAGAACATCGTTGACATCTTCTACGGGTCTTTCTTTCGATAAGTAAATGATCTCCCATGTTGAACATTTTTTTTTTGTTTCTTTGCTGGAGGACGTCCAAGTAATGTCGAGGCTTTTCTTTTAACAGCAGCATGGCTTCTTCCCAATGAAATAAGTCTCTGAGCTATTCTAATTAGAAAAGGCAAAATTTATGTTTTTTCTTTCCTTTTTAGATCATTGTGTAATACATGAGAACTACGAATTACCAACAGCCAACATCAGAAAGCGAAAAAATACTTTCTTCCACCATTTGGTAGACTTCCTATCAAAGTCATACAAGCTTAAAATATGGTTTGTTAGATCCACGCCGCCCATTTCCTTATTGTACATGTCGAGCAGTTCAGGACATCGCACATTCATTTTAGAGCCATCCTTCATGTTTCGTTTCACTTCTACTTGCTGATCTTCAAAGCAATTGCTTAGTGCTAACATGTCTTTAGTATCTTGCCATCTGCAAACTATAGTGCCTTGGTTATTTACTCTGAATTCTGACTCACCACGAATCAACTTCCCAACAAATTTAGGTACATTTACTCTCGTTGGAATTATTGTTCCTATCGCTGGATAATATAGAGTATCAAGTAGTCTAATCGATGAGAAAAATCTGTCAAAACACAATCATACATCAGTTCCCCATATTACTAACTAATTTGGTCACTACTCTTACGAGTTTTTTTAAGACTTTTAGAAATATTTCTATTTCAGTCATGGTATGAGGAAGAGTGCAATCGGCTTTTTTTCTGATGGTACCGAAAAACGTGGTAAAAAAAGTTCCATCGTTATGAAACCAAATACCTGGTTGGTACGTACCTTCGCCTTCTTCATCATTTTCGTCACTACTGCTTTCTTCTTCACTTTCGTCACTTATCATGTGATTCTCTTCATCCATCTTATTGCCATCGGAACCTGAATCTATTTCGTGACTCTCTCGTTCTACGTCTCCCGATGGATTGTAGTCTTCATCATCGGAGCCACTAACCTAAAAAGGATCGACTTCTGATTCAGTATCGCTGGCAAAAATGGCTGCTGCCTCCTCCTCTAGCTCTTTCTGCGTCAATACCTTACTCATCTACAACAAACCAAGACTGTTGGGACACATATAACACACCATAAATGTCTGTTGGGACATATTTCACCCATAAAACAAAATACTAATTTTATTGACTTGTTGTCTAACTCATTATTAAGGCGTTTTTTTATTCCATAAGTACTATGTTCTACCCATACTTCTAGCTCTGCATCTATTCCATCTATTTCATAGTGGTTTAAGGATTGTCTCAGTTCTAATTTAAGGCAATTTAAATCAATTTTTGGAAAATGTTTGGGATGCTGAAGACTCAGAACGAAGGCCGGTGTGTTTTCTTCAGAAAACCGTGTCTCTAGAGAAGATATGATAGAATCCAGATACGGAAGAATCATGGAGCTCCTCCAGTATTTACTAGTCGCATCAGCTGCTTGATTACTTCTATGCTGTTGCTTGTTTACAGTTCTAATGATAGATGATTGAAAACCGCATTCTTCGGCTGTCTTATTGGCTTCATGCAATAAACTGTTTGTTACGTTCTCTGTGTTCTGTTTGTGTCTTTTAAAAATATCCATGATTTGACGAATATGTTCCGCTACCTTTAAAACATTAGTTTGCGCAGATTGTAGGCGGTTGACTATAGACTCCAGGTATTCAGAATATTATTTTGTAATCAAAATGACAGCGATGATAAATCCTGCATGCCGCAGAATGCAACTAATAAAATATTTTTCTATTGACAAATTCACGAGAGGACTTCAGTACAGTGCTTATGTGAAGCGACGTTCCTGCTTAGGCCGCTAGGCACATTTATATTTATATTTTGCAGGTGTGATACAGGACGGCGTTAGCTCTTCTGTACGATAACATTAAATCATGCAATCTTATTAGAAGTAAATGTAACATTATTTACAACTTCAAGATTTTGCAACTTACACAAAATTTAATAAAACTATTTTCTTTGAAATCTTTTTTACTAATTATACAGGGTGTAACAACAGAACAGAGTCTACTAGGGAAACTGCTACAAAAAAATTCGTAGCTCCGTAGTGGCTACAAATTTATATTGTTAATTTATATGCCGACAGGATATATACCAACTTGGATCAATTATTACTATTAACAGTCTCAACAATTATTACAAAGAAAAGTGTGTATACACCAAAGAATAAAATTACGCTACCTAATGAATAAAGATAAGACTTACAATAACAGTGCCTGGTCTCTAGTCCATTTCGGAAAAATCGTCCTCACTGGAACTGCCGGTGTTGGGTGTGATAATCACCGGTAGGATATCTTCTTGTAGGTTGTCAACTATCCACATTTCTTTTTCAATTCTGATGACATGCTATATATAATTTTGCCAACTTTCGTCCAAATAGAAAATATTGTATCCTTGATTTCGATAATTCTGTATTTATCTAAGAAATTTATGCCTCCAATTTATTATGTCAGAACGTTCTATCATTACTGCTTTTTCCGCCGAACTAGCAACACTGCAGCGTTTTCTTCCATTTGATTAACATTGTCCGTAAGAGCCAACGCTGAAATTTACTGGTGAATCCGAGTTTAATGACCAAATTTCCTTCAACAGATAGGGTTTGCAAGGCCTGTACAATTTCAATAGATTTTTTTCGAAAAAATCCTTCTTCTTCTTAAGGTGCCGTGCATTTCTGCGTAGGCGTCCACCGTACATCGTCTTGTCAGGTGAGATGTTAAATATTCTGGATTAAATAATTCTGTTTTTAGCAGCATTGCGAAGCATTTCATAGCTGTGGATTCCTGTCCATTGTCGAATTTTGCGCAGCCATGACATTTTTTTACGTCCGAGACCCTACCCTCTATCTTCCCTTCGAGTATCAGTTGCTGAAAAGTGTATCGTTCTCCTCGTATAATGTGCCCCAAGTAAGCAGTCTTCTTACTTTTTACATAATTAAAAAGCTCCCTATCCTGTAAGCCCGCTCTTCTGAGTACTTCCTCATTTCTGACCCTGTCCGTCCATGATATTCTGAGCATTCGACGCAGGCACCACATTTCAAACACTTTAAGTTTGTTAATGGAACTGGCCTTTAACGTCCATGCTTGTATTCCGTACAGGAGAACAGGCCACACGTAACACTTAAGCATCTTGTATCGGAGGTTGAAGTCCAATTTGCGATCAGTCAGAAACTTACGAAGCCTCAAAAAAGCATTTCTGGCTTGTTCAACTCTGCTCTTTATTTCATTCTCGGGGTCCCAACCCTCATTCAGCAAACATCCCAAGTATTTGAATTGCCTGACTTGTTCGATTTCTTCTCCAGAGACATATTGGGGTAATCATTTCTACTTATAATCATTGATTTTGTCTTCTTGATATTTATTTTCAAACCCCGAGCTTCACTTGCAAGAGTTAGATCATTTAAAAGGCATTGAAGATCTTCGATGTTAACTGCCACTATGGCTGTATCATCGGCATACCTGATGTTATTAATAAATATGCCGTTAACTTTAATACCCTTATTAGAGTCTTCCACTGCTTCTGCGAAGGCTTTTTCTACGTATAAATTGAACAGCATTGGGGACAGTATACAACCTTGCCTTACTCCTTTTTTAATGGAGAAATCTTCTGTTTCGTTGGAATTTTGAAGACGTACTGTTGCTGTCTGATTCCAATACAGATTGGCGATGATTCTTATATTCTTTGCATCCAATCCCAACTCTTGTAGGTATTTTATCATCAATTCGTGTTTTACATTATCGAATGCTTTCTCGTAATCGATGAAACAGATAAAAACATCCTTTCTTTGATCTAAACAATTCTGTATCAATGTTTGCATACCAAAGATCGCTTCTCTCGTGCCAAGTCCATTTTTGAAACCAAACTGACTCCATCCACTGACCTCTTCACATCCTAATTACCTAACGAAAAATCCTAATTACCTTGTATTTCTCTGACCTCTACGGAAGAAAACTTTCAATTATATTAAAAAACTTTCATACAAAACGAAAAATATACGGAACGAAAAAGTTTTGTAGGAAAATGTATGTCTCTAACTAAGTTTAAACTTATGTTAAGTAAGTTTTGATATCAACTGAAATAATATGAAGTTTCTTTTTTAGGTACATTTTCATTACTGCTTCAATTAACCGCTGTAGACGCAGTCAGTCCAGTTTTGGCCATGGTTGAAATCCTAACCATCAATAACCAGACTTGGATATTTTCTCACAACCTGTGCCCTATGTACAACGGAACTGAAATCCTAATTAATTCGCTGCAACTATGGATCATCATATGTATTAATTTTCATGTGATATCCTTATGGAATCTTTTTAAACATGAATCGAAACGAACAAAAAATCCTCTAGTGTCATGCGATGATGAATCAAATGAATGCTTAGTAACGAAAAGGGAAAATACCAGAGCCATTAGTATAGATTATAGAAGGAGGAAAGTAGATATTTCTGTGGTAATACCAAGCATTTTAATATGGTTCTTTTGTATCTCGTTAAGCATACCAAGTTATACTTTATCATCATCTGTGAAAGTAAAAGAGAATTATGTGGTGTGTGCATTGTTGGGCAGTTATTACATTCAGATGTTCCAAATATTATTGTTAGTTTTTAGAGTGCTATTGCCGATACCTTTATTATTATTTTCTCTAATTTTTTTAATTTTAAAACTATCAAAAACTTCTCTTAAAGATGTTAAACAAATACTGACCAAAGATTTTGGTGAACTGAGAGTATTACTTATATTTTGTATATGCCTTACGATCCTCTATCTAGCTACATCTTTTCAAAGGAGTCTTATCCATTTTTGGCAGATAAACTCACAAGGATTTTACAGTGACATAACTGATCGTTTCAATGTATCGTCTCTGTACAATAATCGTCTAAACATTTCTAATAACATGAGTCTAACCATGCTTCATTACAGTTGCAATACTCTAAGATGTGCACTATTGCTGTATCTATTGCCCAAATTTAAGGAGGTACTAAATAACAGAGTACTCAGTTGTCATAAAATTGTATGAAACTAGACTGTATTGTACTTTATTTAAAGAGACTATAACCTATGTGCCAAAAATGTCAGTATAAGCTCTATCACCCCAACTTTTAGCTGTGTGTGACGTCGTTAATCAAATTGTATAAACTTTATTTGGCAATGAAAGAGAGTAGCAATAAATTCCTTAAACAAGAACGAAACAAACTTCTTCGTTTGGGGTTTTGTTCACCATTACTATTACTGTTTTCCGTCAAATGTTTAATTGATTAACAAACTTTTTAAGTAATTTCTTCTTCTTCTTGATGTGCCTATCAGTTACAATCGTATCAGTTACGAATATTGACAATCATCATGGCAATCTTTATCTTATCTGGAACAGCGCGAAAAAGCTTCACATGATCTGCAGTTTGAGCAGTTCTAGGGGAATCTGGCCTAAAATGACATACTACTTTTTTGTCGTCCAATAACTTTTTTATTTTTTTAATAAAAATTTAAAAATACATAAATGTTGTTCATTTTTTGGAAGTAGAACAGATCATGGAACATAAAACTCTAACAACACAATATTTTTTAATTAAAAAAAGGAAACAAAATAAACGTTGCTATGTCATTTTATCCAAGTATATTCGGCTAAAACGACACACTCACATGGATAAAATGTCATATAATCTAAATTAGCAAAGTTCACAAATAAATGTTTTGCACGATTTTGAGATACCAGCACAATCACAGTGTGCCCATTTTGAGCATTTTTGGCACCTAATCCAGAATTCTTTGGACCTTGAATGGGAGTACAAACTGTTACAATATAAACATGGAGGATTATTTTCGTCTTCGTCATCATCTGACACAATGGTCTTTGTTTCCTCCTCGCGATCTTGTGTCATTAAAGTCAGATTCTTAATTGCTCGCTTTGCAGCTTGACGTTTTTCTGTAGCTCGCTTCTCGAGTGCTTTGGCTTTTTGTTCTTTCATATTTGGGGTAGCCGATAGAACTTTTGTTCTTTCTGATTTTCTTTTTTTGGAGCGTGACTGGACACCTGAACACGATGGAAGAGGTGAAATGCCAAGTGGACGAATACCAGGATTAATTGAAGAACAACTTTCAAGTGAGTTTGGTCTAGGTGTAGAAACCGGTTTGTTTCCTTGATCTGGAAAATCTTGATATCGCAAAACATTATCATTCTCTTCTTTTGACTCTGTTAGGGGTTGAATTGCAACTTCTTCTTGAATATCTGTTATTTTGAAGGATTAAATAAATAATCAGGGAATATGTCGGGATTAAGGGGCCAAATTCCAGTCTTAATCCACTAACGGCATTTTGGTGTGTAGCTGCTTTTCCATACGCTGTAGCAAATAATCCTCCAACTTGGTATTGCGAAACTGTTCTGCCTGGATGACACTTCATCCACTTGGTAACTTCTTGATCATAGTAGCTCTTTAAAAGATCTATATAATATATCTAACGGCTGTAGACGATGGGTACAGTGCGGCGGAAAACACAATATCACTATTCCATGTTCTTTGGCAAAAGTTAAAACATTAATGTTTTTATAGCTCGCATGCCCATCAAGCAACAGCATAACCTTGT